TACCAGTTTAACGTTGAATATTATTTATGATTTTAACTTTATACACAAGTGCCAAAATACTATAATTACTGTTTGTTTTTGTTGAAATTTATTGCCAACAAGTCACAGACACCTACAGTGAAGAATCCCACCCATACACATATGTAAAAATGTGACAACAATCAACAAAGAAAGTAAAAGTAGATCCAAGGGTAGCACAGAACCTAAAACATCATTTTTACAAAATTTGATTCTTAACACCTGCATAGTTTTTACCAAAATGATGTAAGGCTACTTTTGCCGATAAATAAAAGATAACGTTTTTGGACAACAAGGGACCTATTGGTCCATCTCGGCTGTTCCATCCTCTAAACTAAATTAAAATAAAAGCCATGAAGCTTATAATCTTCAAACTGGATCAGTTACAAATTATTTAATGTTAAAAAATCATTATTTTTTTACTTTTTTTTAAGAGTATCTGCATCATCAGCAACCTTTTATATAACAACATATAAAACTCTTACCCTTGATGAATAAAGTTAGTCCTTGAACAGTCAGAAGGTAGAATATTTACTGTCATTGCTTCCTCTGTCAACTTAAAGGAGAAAAAGAAATCACCATGTGACTGTTTATGTTCGTACTTTTCAAAGCCAAGTTTGTTTATGAGAAATAATTCTAAGACGGAGCATTAATATAAAAACTTTTATTAGTAAACAATTAAAAAAGCATTAAAAAATTATATATTTATTGTAAAATTTTGGTCACGTGTTGAATGAGCAATCATCCCTCCAAACTCTTCAAGTAAATTAGTCCATTCAACTGTACTAACTGTTTTCAAGTAACATAAAGAATATCGGAATTACCTCTTCTGATTCCACGTTTTTTGTTTTGATGTCTAAATTCAAACATAGCCACTCCTCTTCCTTCCACACTCCACAATTATCATTGGTTATATTACTGTAGTCCTTCATGGGGGGTGCTGGTGAGGTTCATAAACAACAGTTTAAGAACATTTATATTTTTTATAGATATACAGAAATACTTCTTTTTGATTTTATTTCTTTATTAACGCAACCAGTAATATTACAAGACATTTAATAATGCTAATAATAACTTTTCTACAACAGAGTTTTTTTTTATTCTTAATAAAACTAGCTTGTCAGTTCCCAGTTCTTCTGAATGACGAATAAAGTTAATTCACATAAAAATAAATAAATTGATGTCAAATAAAGAATACTGTATTATTAACCTTTATCCTAATTCTAATTTGTAAATGACTCGTACACAATTGTTAATAACCATGTTTCACCAACTTAATAACAGTTGTTGTTCTTGCAATTCATGAATATAAGTAGCATCTCAACCGCTACCGCATCTCTCATATCCATGCTGGCTGATGATCCTCAGTATCGGGTTAAAACCCTCATTGGAAATGGATATAATGATATACGTTCTTTACTTTTAGTGGTAAATTCAAATGTTTGAGTTAAGAAACAAAATTCACAATTTCTTAACAAATACACTTCTGGTATTCTTATATATATATATAATATTTCAGTAACTAAAAGCACGCATTGAACAGAAACAGTTCACCTGTTTTGATATTACAATGGTAAATTTTAAATTCATACTTTAAAATTTCATTTTTAAAGTCATAATTCTCCCCAACAATTTTCTCATGCTAAACCCACAACTGTTCATGAAATTATCAAATGTTGGTTGAATGTACAAAATTTCTATATTGTAAATACATTTTTACTTTTGTATTTCAACAACAGTGTTCGTTTCACAGTCATCAATCACTTGAACACGTAGCATACACTGGTTAAAATTACACTGAAAGTTTCATTAAAAAAAAAAGGAACATAGAAATAGTAAAATTTGCAGGTGAAAAAGTTGTTTCATTTTAGCCAATAGTGAATTTCAAACATAGTTATAATAAAAAAAAGTCTACTGTTGAAAAATGTACCTTCCTTTGTTGGACCTCTGGGTAGAAAAACTTCCCACCATCGACGGTGCTGAGGGGTAACTGATGGTGGTGCTGAAACGTAACATTTGGAACACCCTGAACATGGGGAAAGATAGGAAAGGTAGATCTCACTTGCTGGTGGCCACTTCTAGGAGAGAGAAAAAAAAAAAGCATAACATACCAGTATTTCAGACAGAGAAAAACATTTACAATTATTTCAAGTACTTAAACAGATCTTGTATATATTCTACCTACCCGAATATTTTATTCAAGAACGTAACAAAATTCACGTTATTTTGCACATGAAAAAAAAAACAATAATGAGTATACAATACATTGAGAAAAATTGCAATTAAACTCAATACAATTGAGATTAGCAAAATCTCTGTACAAACACTTTGGATTCACATCATCATTGCAATAAACTAGTTTATAGTTAATGAAAATATTTTGAGATTTTTAACTATTTATAAAAGACTACCAAACCTAATAGTTCTACCATCAAATACCAAAGTATCTTGCAATACTATAAAAAGTGTTTAGAGAAATAAAATATACACTGATAGATAATTTAAACTAGAGAAAAATTAAAACACTAGTCAATGTTGTTTTTAAATAAGTTCTGGATCACGCAAGTTACTGTGGACTTATAGAAACACATTAGTATAATTCTGAAACTTATGACTTCTAATGTGAACATTTATTTTTCTATGGCTAAAATCATTTACAATATCCAGGGGTGAAATTCTTAAAAAAAAAGAGCTACCCAGCTGGGTGAAGTGGAACCTGTTTTTGAAAACGAAAAAAAACAATTTACGTGTAAGCATAAAAAAATGACAAAACAGCTCAAATAAATCCTGGTACTAGTATCTCCTTAAAAAATAAGTCCTGGTACTCAGTACCAGTGAGTACCGGCAGAATTTCACCCCTGACTATATCTACTGTAACAGTGAGTAATGCAAATATATTTATGAAATCTTGGTTTACACCAACCTTATAGTTATCATTATTATTATTAACCACCAAATGAATAATTAAAACAGGTGCAAGTAAACAAATATATATACATATAGTCTTTATACCTGAAATTATTCAGACTTTAAGACCACTTAATTTTACGTGATGATTTTAAATACTAACTCTTATTGCTGAAAATATGTATGCCATTCTCTTCTTCAAGGGTCCAAAATACCAATACCTGTATAAAGTAAAAAACTCTTGAACAAGCAAGTGAAATACATGCAGTTATACTTTAAACAGTATAGCTAAAAACAAAACATCATCAAACACCTGAGATGAGGGAGACTTTGAATCAAGTTTTTACTTTTCTTGAAATAATATTTAAAGAAATAAGTGAAATAACTAGTGTAAAATTAAAGCTTTTAACCTGACTGATCACATCAAAAAGTTATTAATGAAAAACAGAAAAACAAAAAGATGTATATATAAATGTACATACTTTCTTTTTAGATGAATGTTCTTTCACTGGATCATTATTAGTTGACAAGTTTGTTTAAGAAAGATTTGGTTTTATAATTTGAGAGTGTTCAGTAGTCTTGAAGGTAATTTATTCAGAAACTAATAAAACATATTTTTCAATCCCAATGAGACTTAAATGAAGTGAGATATCTATAACAGACCTTGTTACACAGTGCACTTTCTGTACCAGTTACAAGTATATCATTTTTTTATGTAAATTATCTTTGATTAGTTTTATTATTCCTAGAATGGTAGTTTCAATGAAGTCAGTATTTTATTTACGCCCATAAATCAGATTTTATTTAGTCAAGAATATAACTTTACACATGCATTTAATTTAAATGTTGATGCATAATAACACATACTGATATAGCTTGTAGTTTACGACAGTGCCTTTACTTACTTGCTGATAGTTTCTTCTGTGTCTCGGAAAGCTCCAAACTCCAATTTGGAAACAGCGTATACTGGTCTTCCTCTCTCTCCCTTTATAAAAACCAATAAAAAATTTACTTTAAACTTTATTCAAACAGCCAGTTCAAAGACATCTAAAGTTCAACCATACCCTTCTCTAACTTAAAACTAATGACCAGAGATGATAACTAGTCAGTAATACTTCTTTCCTGCTGTGAGGCTACTCTTTAGTAAGTGAATGGCAGGACTTACTGCCAGAGCCAAAAGTGTTGAGCACGTTAAGCAGTTATTCAACAAAGTAAACTAATTATATTAAATATTATCTACTAAATAGCAAGATAACCACAAAAAAGAGCATAAGGCAGGTTTAGATTTTCATATAAATATAGGAAAACATACAAAATTGCAAGCCCTTCCCGTAGTTTCATAACTGTAAACATTGCTCGTTAATTAGATCGCAACTTAGCTAGTTGTAGGATTTCAAAACACTACGAGTATGGTAATAATAAAATTGGTTGTTAATTTAAACAGTATTAAGAATGCATATGCGAATAAGCCTACAGTTTTACGTCTTATGTACGCTGGTCTAGAAACTTCAAGGCACTTGTGTCAACAATATACTACATACCAACTGCAGACAACAATCAGGCACAGCTTTTGCAGTTTTCATCACATGAAAAGGTATTGTTGACATAAAGAGGAACAATATGAATATACAATCATATTGTGATTACACATAAAACATTTTTGGGGAAATTTCAATAAACCTAATTTAATGCTAATTATGAAAAACAAAGGGTTGAGTCATTAAAACGATTCTGGAATCTCACCACATCATTATAGTCCATATTGCCACATCCAGTCATATTGTAACCGATGACTGTGCATCTTGACAATAGTCCTGCAGTATAGTTTCCATTACAAACATCACTCCTCCCTACAGGCTTTTTATGACCCATATAGTTTATGGGGACACACAAAAATGCACAGGAACTGCATCTGACAACCTGATTGTTATGTCTTCATATGCCAATTTCATTCTCCACATGACTGAGGTATGTATCTTATCTCAAGAAACCCATACCCTGGTGGCCCCATTTCCATTCAAAACTGGCATTCCTGTGTAGTATAAAGGGTTCAAAACACTGGTCTGATAATAAGCAGAGTTCATTTTGACCCTTGTATCCACCTTTCTGACACCTAACTTGCCACTGGTGATCATAAATTCCTTATAAAAAAGCCATATACCACTTTCGGAAATTTTTTTCACTCACTGATTGGAAGAAAATGGCACGAAACTTGTTGCACTTATCAAGGTACACATACACTTTGTTGAGTGTCAACACCCACTGCCATTTTTCCCATCAGGCACTATTCATACAATTATCTGTAATTGGTCGTTAAGTAAAAGTCGTTAAAGTAACTTGTGCAAATGTGACTTGCATTGCTTTTCCAGACAATGATCCTTATTGACTATGATACATACTGATGCCTGGGATGCATGAACAGCTTTTCACACTGAGTGGTTTAGTTTGTTTTGAACTTCGTACAAAGCTACATGAGGGCTACCTGCAGTAGCCGTCCCTAATTTAGCAGTGAAATATTAGAGGGAAGGCAGCTAATCATCACCACTCACCACCAACTCTTGGGCTACTCTTTTACCAAGGAAATGTGGGATTGACTGTCACATTATAATGCCTCTACAGCTGAAAAGGCGAGTATGTTTGGTGGGACGGGGATTTGAACCTGTAGTCAGCAGATTGTGAGTCGAGCACCCTAATCACTTGGCCATGCCAGGCCTTGACTTATGTGATTATGGATTCTCACATTTTGCTGGGATACAACTTCCAGGTCTGTTTCTAAATGGTGCCACAAGATGATCTGTATTCCTTTGTTTTCCAATGTTGTTTCGAACAAGAGATATTCCAGTCTTGTAAATTCTAAATCTGTGATCTGAACACATCCCTATGATATGGGTTTATGAAATTTTGCATCAGAAAGTGTTATTACATATCTTTAATAAGGAATGATTTCTGTTGGCAACATACTAACTATGAAATATCAAACAACGTCATATTGTGATCCTGATATCCGTCTTTCCACTATTGACAGTTGTTCTCAAACCTTTTCATCTGCAGACCACTTCGACTGTGACTTTATTTAGGCTATGGTTGCCACAATTTGCTGATTTGTATACTCAAAATTACTTTAATATAACCCTCTATAATCCAAGTAAAACACATCTTTTTTCACACCTTGTAATGCTTAAATCCTGAGTGAATAAAAAATACCTTAGCTACTTTAATATATGTTCCAGAATTCTCAAAATAAACATATTTGCAGTTAACTGCAGCATTTCTTATTCTTTCAAGATTTGCTAAAAACAAGTTCTCAAAATACACATTTTAAAAGTACATATTTTGAAACTATTCATCACAGAAAAAATGCCTAGATAATCATCATGTATGTTTACTTTCGAAATGTGTGTGCGTATATATATATAATTTGTTTTTAGTAATTCTTGAAATGTCGATGAAATAGACTGTTGATTAAGTACTGTTAATGCTGATAAACATGTTCAAAATGCCTTTTTCTTTACATAAACAAAAGTGTAATGTTTTAATTTTCCTCTGTTGATGAAAGAATAGTTGTTGTTTCAATCTGATTCTTGTCATGTTTAACATGCTACAGTTGCTGAAAGTTCCTATTTTCATTCATATCACATTTTAAGATTTAAAAGAAAAATCCAACACATGTCTAGATTATCATGTGGTGTCGTTGACTGGTAATATTTACAAATTGAATTAGAAACATTTGAGCTACTAAATTTTCATATCTACTTGCCCAATGTGTAACTATGAACTTTGGAAAGTTTTCCAGCCTGGTATAATTAATACAGATTAAAATAATTCATGTAATGATGAATCAAAGTAATTTATGAATATATTGAAAAAAATAATAATTAACAACTGTTTGAAAACTTGATCACACAAACCTATATGCAGAACAAAGTTCAACCATCTTTCTTGCCAATACAAAGATGTTTTTCCTTTTAATGATGTTACGTACAGTACATTCATATTCAAAGTGTGCAATCTTAATCATGGTTAAGATGTCACATTAAGGTGAACCAAATATATTGTACTTGTCTCATTACAAAATTCAGTTAACTGGTCAATACGAAAAACCTTTGAAATTGTTCACCTTCTCAAAGCTTTCCAAGGCCTTGAAAATAGCACAGTGATAATAAAAGGCTGTACAAACCTTGGTTTCATAACAACTATTTACAATGTTAGTTTAACACTGGAACTTGATGATACACAGGACATAAGAAATGAGCTGTTAATTTCAACATACCATAATTTGTGTTTAAAGTAATTAGTTGCCCTTGATTTAAGAACCTTTTTTTTCAAATTTCCACTATTTTTTTTAGTATATTTCAAGAAATTTCTGAAACTACATAGAGCTATACTTAAACTAATTTTCTTACCTCTATTCTCATCACATCCATGGGTTTGGTTACTTGTTTAATAACACTCATCGCGGCCTCGGCCAACCTCCTACGAAAATAAGTAATTCATTCAAATAACTTTTCACTACAGTATTACAGGCTTTAAAAATCACAGCATCGTCTTAATGTTTCTAACTGAACCTTAACTAGGATACCTCAAAACGAAAGTTTCTTAATATCATAAACTACATATGACCTTTCATCTTCAGTAAGAAAATTAAATGCATTTATGTCACTTTTTATAAATACAACTTTCTCTGTTGGTGATTAAGTAGTTTTCACATACGAGACTGTAATAGCTTACAAAGACACAGTTTCTAACAGATTCCGTTTAATATTGGCACCAATAAATAAGTTGTATGACAATTAGGAAAAAAGTTACGGAAAACAAACCGTTTCTCAAGATTTGTATATAGAAACTAGTTTTGACACAGAGGGTGTACAACTTTTAAAGGATATTAAATATATTCCAAGTAAAATAAAATAAACAAACGTTTTTTTTTCATACAAAATGAATTATTATATAATGTACATATAAGAAACCTGAAAAAGGCCAATATGAAACCTTCTATAAAGTAATTCAAACAGTAACTCTTCTGAGCAAAACAAATGTGAAAGAATAATTTTTAAAGATTCGTTGATAAACAAAATCACAGAAAATTTTACAGTGCTTCAGAAAAAAACAAGAAGTTAAAATTAAGATACACTTTTTATGTAAAACATTATTTCATGATAAAGTTGCAAAATCAAATGATTACCAAGGTGTGATTAAAAGCCCTTTCACCAGTTCTGGATTAGTAAAAATTAACTGGGGATGAGTAGATCTGAAATGTTGGTTAGTCTCATGAATAACCAGCTTTTAAAAAGCACCATTAAGGGAAGGAGTTAAGTTACAAGATGATGTAAACAACTTGGAATTAATTCGTAACAAAAATTTACAATTTTTTCAAGGAGAAGATTTGGTTAAGTCACACTTGTAGGTTGAAATCAATGATTTTAAAAATACTTCTCAGATTATTAGAGACCTCAGATTTTGTTATTGTTTCTCATGATATTTTTGTTGTTGTTGCTGATAGTAGGTTTTCTGCAGACATATTTCTCTGACAATACTTAGCACTCACATGCATGGTGGCCTTACAATATGTTGCACAATGACATTTGACGGTAATTGATTATTTATTGAATCACGTAAAATTTATGTTTTTTTTCAGGTTACATAACTGCTTCAGTTGACAAGAAAATTCCCCCCAAAATAAAGTTAAATTTGATTGCATATAAAAATATTTTTGACCAATAATAAAATAAAAAATAGGTTTTTCATATATTTTTCATTTACAGATGAACATACGATTCATTCAGTCTGTACATTTTCTTCACTCAATCAGTTTGTAAAAACAGTTTAGTATATGACAGTACTGGAGCAAACAAACTTAAGAAAAGGAGATGTACATTATGAAGTTCATCCAGAAAACAAGCAGGTATTTTTCTCAATTTGATTGAAATAACAAACTAAGGTGTAAAGATTTGGTTTGTTTTGAATTTCACACAAAGCTACACGAGAGCTACCTGAACTAGCTCTCGTATATTTAGCAGTGAAAGAGTAGAGGGAAAGAAGCTAGTCATCACCACCCACCGCCAACTCTTGAGCTACTCTTTTACCAATGAATAATAGAACTGAACATCACATTATAACACCCTCATAGCTGAGAGGGTTAGCGTGTTTGGTGGGGTGGGGATTCGAACCCGTGATCCTCAGATTGCAAGTTGAGCACCCTAAACACCTCGCTATGCCAGGCACGGTGGAAAGACAAAAACTTACTCCGCTTCAAGTGTTGTAGAAGTAGTGAAAAGCTTTCTCGCCACAGAATTGGACTTTCCAATAGGTATAATTCCCAGAGGAAGATGGGTACTCACAAAATCCTGAAATAAAAATATGTTACTGCTTAGTCCTATCAACATCTCTACTGACCTTAAAATAACATTAACAATTAAATAACTGTTATTAGTATCACTGTTTGGGTACATAATCATGTGTACTTTGGATGATTATTTTTTTATGTTTGAGTTTGTTTATTTCAGAATTTCACGCAAAACTACATTACGAACTATATACACATAGCCAGTCCTAATTCTTAACTGATGAACTAGGAGTAAGGCAGTGAGTCAACAGTACCCACTGTCAACTCTTCGGATACCCTGACCTGATCAAGTGGGATTGATCCATCACTTATTATGCAGTATTAAGCCATGATCCTAAAGTGTGGGTTGAGTTTCTATGGAAATGGGTATGAAACATTAAACCTTGGATTCACATTCCAGACACACTAACCACTAGGCCACATTGGACCCCTATTTTTTTTGTGAACCTTGAAAAATTATAAATTAATCGTAAAATATGAAAGCACTGTTTCTATGTCCTAGTTATACAACAAAAATTATACAAGAGGCAAAAAGTTATTCACTCTCTGCTAATAATCTACAGTAGTTTAAAATGTTTGATTAACATGTGACTATATATAATCAGTGCAATAAGTATAGTGAACCAAAGAATAGAGTCATTTTTCTTTCACTGAAATCATTTTTTGATGAGAAAAAGAAATTCACAGATAAATAAATAACGAGTTGGTCTGCTGAATAATAATGAATGACTAGTTGTGAAGAAATAATCACATGTTATTCAAATATCTACAGTATTTTATGTTATCATTGGTGAGTATAAGACTATACATAAAAACCAAATAAATAAACAAAACGTGTGAAATAAACACTTACTGCATCCGGTCTTCTGAAGAGGCCAGTAACAGCCTGAAAAACGAAATAATAAAGAAAAAAAAACCTCAGAAGTAATGATGTCACTTTTGTATCAATATCAAAACCTTAAAATTACTTTAAGCAACCATATACAAATATTTTGTGTCATCTAGATTAAAACAAATACTAACATCATTTTAAAATTCTGTATGATGTTATCAAAAAGTTCCTTTAAAATGTACCAGAATATCAGATTGTTACTATTCACATTTACTATTTTATTGAAATACATGGAAAACAATAAAAAAGTTTATTACTTTTAATATTATTGTAGTTTCCCTCTTTTCTTTTAACTCATAACCAAAATGTTTAATTGTACAGAATTAAAAAAAAAGAATTTTATTACATATGGTTACTCCAGATTAACTGCCAAAATATCGTGTTTAATTTCAGCTCATTGGCACGATGAAATACTATATAGACATAAATTCTACTTATCTTACATCTTCTGTAATAGACAACATAATCGTACCCCATTCATCTATCTAAGAATGTACAATCAATCTGGTATAACTTTAAAAATTACATTTTTTATCAACAGTCCAACTTAAAAAATGTTGTCAGTTAGGTTACAACTCTGGTTTCAATATACTGAGTTATAGGCCTAATCCTTCCATCTTAGTAAGGGTAAAATTTTCAAGTAAACCATCCAATAAGAAACATCAGTGTTGGTTCACATACATAAGAAATTTAACACTTAAAATCAGAGAAATCTTGAACAGTGCTTAAACCTTCAGATCTTCAATTATATTAATACATTGGAATTATGCTCTAACCTCGATTCAACCCCAAATAATCGTGATGAACAATTATGCAATGAAAACATTAACTCTAGAAATCCCAGTGAGGGTCCGTATGGTCCACGTCAGCTTTATAAACATATTTTTCAACATTATTTGTGCACCAACTTGCTTGTTGGTCCACGACTATGTTGATTACATGGTCCTTAATAGCATAAAAATCATGCAAACACACACACATACACAAACAACAACTGCACATTTGTTTCAATACTGGAATAAATCCACTAATTAACATGGGGGTTCTCTATGCAGTTTACACAGAAAATTAGTGATTTCATGCAACATTTCTGGTTAATTTTTCTAGTACCTGGGTGTACTAGACGTTTTCTTTTTAGTTTAAAGTAATCTTAATTTCTTTTCTTTTTCACTATAATTCCTCAAATTGGAAGATGGCACTGCTCAAAAGAGTTTCTAACTTTAACTTCCCCTTATGGCTAATTTGGTCATGTGAATATTAGGTGCAGTCTTGTTTGATTTTCCTACAGGAAAAATTGTGTGCTGCTTAAATAGCATGCCGAGCTACTCTTGTCAGCGAATCAAGCAGTAATTGGAGGTGGACTTGCCCATTGGCCAGCTGATCTACCAGGCACCAATCATTGTTTTATCGTGTCAGAAAGTCAAAAGTTTATGATTTTATTTAAAACAGTGTTGGTGCAGAATTTCACAAACCTTTGCAGAGAATTTCCATAGATTTTAGCAGACATTCACTAGATTTTCATGCAGTGTTTCCATAATTTTCACTTCTTTGTGAGAACCTAAAGGTCCTCACTTTTGATTTCTGATAACAGGTTTCTATATTTCTGTGTAATTTTACTTAATGAGAATTCTTCAAGTCCTCTTGTAAGTTTACGGGTTAACTCTTGACTTTTGTTTGTGTGGGTGCCATTTGGTTTTCGCCTATAATTTAACTTAGTACTTAAGTTTGCCAGTGAGTAAATAGTGTATTACTTGCCTCATACAATAGCAAAACACAGGTTTTAGTTTACAGTGTGGTTTATTATTGTTAGTTAGTAAGGTTGAGTCGAGAATTAGCTTATTGTTTTACATTTTAACTTGGACACAATCTCTGTTTGTAATTCTTCTATTTCTATAAGCTAGCCTAAGTTACAGGGGAGGGGGGCATATGCACTAGTAAGAGACTATTACTTAATGCTACTTACACACCTTTTTTGTTTTAATACATGCACAAACACTCAATCACTTACCCTCCATTATACAATAGTACTTTGTTGTCTGTTTTTCTGTAAACTGTCAAGATATAAATTAAAGATTGGTTCCTTGGGTAACTCTGCATTTAACTGTCTCATTCTTTGTGGTGAAAGCCGTCATACCCTTCAAGAAATACACCCATGTACAAGATCTATGAACCTCCTGTTTTTGCAGGCTCAGACTTATATAAACCATGCAGTTCTTATGGTTGACAAAATTAACCCATTATACATGTATGACTTGAAGCCGATGACAGAAGTTCAGACTTTAGTTTATTTCTTTTTTGTTGTGGTTCTTTTTTTTACCTCCAGTAATCTGAGAGTGAGAAACGATGATAACGTCGGAATATAAGTGTTGAGGAAATATTTGGACTAAAAAGTTCACCTCAAAAATAGCGGAATGACAAGTTAGCCACATCCTATAACCAATTTCTCTGTAGTAAACCTATATGTGCATCCAAACACACACACTTGTGATACATTTTGAAAACTTTCTATTTAATATTAAGCCAAAATGGAAAAGAAACACTTGGTATGTATCACATACCACATTTGAACACAAAAAAAGTCCTTAATATGATGTAATAAGTAGATTCCACAGGCAGTGGATTGTTTAAATAATCAGAGGGTCAAAAAATTATTTACACATATCTTTCTTACTTCATGTAAAGAGCCATCTCCCCCAGCGATGATAACAGCATCTGTATTGTTCATAATTTCCAGCAAATCTCGTGCTTGGCCAGCTTGCTCAGTCTAGAAATACAGCAGGACACAGAAAGTTGAATAGACTTATATACAGTTCAAGAATTATGAGGAAACTTATTCAACATTCTTTTGTTCTTCAATGTTCACTGAAAAATTGCATTTTTAGCATTATCAGTGACAAACTTAAGTTTTCTTCTTTAGCTCCACCTGAACAATATTTTTTGTGATCAAATTAGTATTTTTATTGCAACAATACTTTAAATACAGGATTTCTATAATAATACAAAAGAATTCTAATTGCAAAAACTGAAATCTATAAGTCCACTTTCTTAGGCCTAGCATTAGTTAAGCCTTTATTAATTATGGCCTATATTCAATAAAGAGATAAACTAACACTGTAACTTGTGTATATTTTTTGCTTTAGTTTAGTTAGGGCTAAACCTTACCTTGCTTAATACTATCAATAAATGAACTATTAATGTTATTCTACGACCTAAGGTTAGATCTTTTTAAAAACTTTGATAAGCTTTAAATACGTTATTGTACAAAATGTCTACTACAGTATCTTTGCATCCATCTTTTGTTTACATCGATTGACATGAAATGTATGTGCATGCACAGTTAACTGGTAAGGTGTATATGCGTTTTCAGGACAGACAAAAACCGAGTACTATTACAGTAGGTTTTACTTCTTTTTTTTATACAGTACTATTTCTCATACAATATATTAAAGTAAAATATTATTACTCAGTAACTGCAAGGAAACTTTTAAAGACATTTTGAAAACTAGCATGACAATGTTTGTGTGTGTGTGTGTGTGTGTGTGTGTGTG